GCTGAAGCGACAGCTTTAGGTTAAAGGCTGAGGGCCTCAGGGCTTTAGACTTACTTCAACACTCCGAACCTGGCTCCCCTGTTTAGGGTTCAGGGTTTAGGGTTCAGGGTCTAGGGTTTAGGGTCCAGGGTTTAGGGTTTAGGGTTTAGGGTTTAGGGTTTAGGGTTTAGGGTTTAGGGTTTAGGTTTAGGGTTCAGGGTTTAGGGTTTAGGGTACCTAAACCCCCCCACCCCCCCCCAAAAAAAAACAAAAAGTAGGCAAAATGATAGCACAAGACATATATGCGGCTATTATTCTACATACTTTTGGCGTCCAGGTATACCTTGAATCGCAATGCCACCCTACAGCTCAAGGAACATTCCTTAATGAAGGAACCCTAAACCCTAAACCCTAAATTGGGATCTCGGGAACTGCTCATCCGAACCGTTTGTCCCTGCAGGTGCGGAATAGCCAGAGCTCCGTCCTCATCGGCGAGACAGGAAGCGGAAAGACGACGCAGGCCGCCCGTGAAGCAGTAGGTTTAGGGGCCAGGGGTTTGGGCTTAAGGATTAGAGGGGTTTGTGGGTTTAGGGTTTGGGTTTAGGGTTTAGGGTTTAGGGTTTTAGGGTTTAGGGTTTAGGGGTTAGGGCTTAGGGTTCAGGGGTCGAGGGGGGGGGTGATACTAGGGGCTGGGTTCAGGGCTAGGGTTTAGGATGTGCTTTTTTAGGTTTCGGGATTCGGGTGGCTTGGGGTTCAGCAAGTTTCAGTTGCTGAAAAACCAAAGCCAAGCCCCAAGCCTCAACGACCACAAAAAACCAAGCACTACCTGAACCTCAAAGAACCTGCCCTTTCAGGGTTCTTTATTCTGATTCCCTCATTTAGTTCCTTATTTGGGTAGGTTTACTGAGGGTCCAGGTGGGAGTTTCCGAAAATATTGGGTACCTTATTTTGGGGTCCTTACAATAAGGACCCTACTATTTAGGGTACTATCTTAGGGTCCCCTATTCTCGGAAACCCCCATTTGGGTAGGTTTACTGAGGGTCCAGGTGGGCACCCTAAACCCTAAACCCTAAACCCTAAACCCTAAACCCTAAACCAAGACTTTTTAAACCTATCGCCTGTCCAGGGCATGCTGAAGTCCTCGGCGATCGTGAGCTACTACAAGGCGCTTGTCGTCTTTGTGCCTTAAAGATGGGGTTGTAACTCTTTGTGAAGGGAACAGGGCAATGAATCGATCTTCGGATTTTTTTTAGTACTTTTGGTTTCTGGAACAGCTTTGCATGGAGGATCTCCGCGATCCGCGGTACAAGGTCCAGTACGCGCTCTGGTGCCCAAGCCGCAGAGATGATGGCAGGTTGGTTTTTTAGGGTTTAGGGTTTAGGGTTTAGGGTTTGAGATGATGTCCAGCACATCGTAGAAGTCCTCTGCGCCACTCGCATCTGCGTAAGACCCTTTTAGGATCGATTCTAAAGCTCGTACATGAGTGAATAAACCGTAAATCCTAAACCGGATAAAGCTGGAATGCAGAGGCACCGCCGGTTTAGCACCAATACCATGCCACGGTGGCCCCTGGCACAGCCCTTCCGCAGCTTGGCAAAAAAGGGGCAGGGCATCAGCTTCCCCATTGCCATAATTGCCATTCTTGTGGTGTTCCTGTACACTTTAGCTCGCACTTCTTCTGTCGCTGTTGCTGTTCTCGTCGCTGCTACAAGTATACCAAACATGAACAATAGAAACGCCACCATTATTGGTTTTGGATGAGCACCGTTGAACACACAATTACTTGTTTATTGATTATTGATTCTCGTCTCCACTGTTGTTTAAACATACATATTGTCGTTCGTTTTTGCTAGCCATTTCTATGACTATTGTTGTTGTAGCTGTAATTGTTATCGTATTTCTCAGTCTTGTTCTCGTTCTTCTTATCATGGTCGCGATTATTATCATTAGCATTATCATTACCATTATCATTATCATTGTCATTATGTGGCTACGGCTACAAGAACGTTATGATGATTGCCATGGTTATTATTAGTGTTACTGATGTAGTGTGCGGGTTAGGAACAGACTGATGGCAATCTGTTCGCCTCCTGAGGCTACTTGGGCCACAATGGCGAGATCAATACCATCCAGGCTCACGGATGGGGTTTAGAATAGAAGGGCTCCGTGGTCTAGACAGCTCGATAATCGGAACAGTGTCATGGGGTATGTTATGCTTGATCCGCTACTGAATGGTGATGGTGGGGAACCTAGTGTTGACAGCTGGATCCTCTCACACAGTTTAGGGTTTAGGGTTTAGGGTTTAGGGTAATCTCACACATGTTTCCAAAACCTCGCTGTTTTTTGGTGCGCACAGGGCAACTACAACTGGACCCATGCGAGATCGGGATCTTTCGAGCATCCCAACTTCGGCTATCGCATGAGGGAGGCAGGGAATGTGGGGGCATCCGTCTGCTAAGCTGCGCGTACTTGTCTCACACCCACTCTTGCACGAGCCCCTGAACCCTAAACCCTAAAGCCCTAAGCTGAAACCGCGAGCCCTAGACCCTTACCCCAAGCTTCGAGACTCTTGGGAACCTGCCTGACATGCAGGTGCTGCCACCGTGCCGCGCAGAAAACTCCGACTCCGGCAACATGGACTGCTCTTCGGCCGCGGCACCCGTGATTTTTCCTTGTGTTATGCAGATTTGTGCTATGTTCAATATTTTTAAATTATTGTTGTCCGCAACAAACAGAGCCACTACGGTGAGGTCCAAGGGGCATCGCCATGCATTGAAAAATCGAAGGACCGCGAATCCCCACAAAGGTTTGTGACGTTTTCGTTTACAGTTTAGGCATGCATGTTCATGCGGTTCGTTAGGTCTAGAGCAGGGACACTGTGCCTTCCGTTTCGAGGTCGCGAAGGCACATGCTGTGAGGTGATGCTGCTGATACCAATGCCTGATTTTTAGCCGCTAAATCTTTCACCCGAACTCAAATTCAAACCCGAAAGTAAACTGCCTGCTATTCTGTACCCTCTGTTTGTGGAGAACTGGCTCAACCGAACCTCAAGCAACCTGCAGCAACCTTGCCGGCATCACTGGGCTGACCACACCGGTTCAACCCAACACTAAACCTAAGGCCTCAAAACTAAACTCTAAACTCTAAACTCTAAACCCTAAACCCTAAACCCTAAACCCTAAACCCTAAACCCTAAACCCTAAACCAAACCCTACCACCTACACCTTGAACCCTAACATCCTAAGCCCTAAACCCAGAGACCAGCTTGCAAGGTTACCTGGAGCTGATCCTCCGCTGTAACCGCGAGCTTCCGGAGGCGCTGATGATGATGATTCCGGAGGCCTACAAGGCCTGAGTTTATGCTAAGGGTTCCGTCAAGGCTAACTTCAAGGGTGGCTTTATACGTTGTATGTAAGACCTCCTTTAAAGACTCCTTTAAGGGTGATCTAGGGGTACTATTATGATTTACAGACAGCTGAAGTGTTAGCCTATAGGCTTTCGGGTTGATCGAAGTCTAGGTTTCAGGTTTTGGAGTCCTTCAAAGGTACTAGAAGCGTTCCTATCCGAAGCCTGGCCATATGTTTTCCTTGACTACAGCATGAACCAGGGTTTAGGCTTCATGGGTTTAGGGCTAAGGGGTTTCGGGTTTAGAGGTCAGGGTATAGAGTTCAAGGGCCTCTGACGAACACTCCCCGGCTACGATGTGTCAAATCACACTTGTGGTCGCTGCAGTGCCAACACTCCGTGCAGTCCTCAGCCCCCGTCTGTTCTCTATCTTCTGGACAGGGCAGAGTTCCTATTTATGCTTAACTTGTTAGGTGCGAAAGCACGCAAGAGGTGCCATTGCCATAGCCATCCTCATTGACGGATCTCTCGTCTCCCAACTGACTGAGTCCGAGCTCTTTGCACCCATGAACTCGCCAACTTAAAGAAGTCGGAACCTCAAAAATCCTGACCCTTGCAGAGCTTGCTTGGGTTCGGCACCCGGAATCCATAATATAGCGGCCGTAACAATTACCTAGATTATTGTGGGGCCTCCTTATTTGTAGGTTCTATAGTAACTATACTATAGTAGACCCCAAAACCAGATTCTAGTTTTTAAGGCCCCTACATTACACTCGATTGCAGCATGTAAACAAGGCAGCCGACGAGAAGTCCAGCAAAAAGGTCACGGAGTTCTACGAGCACCTTACCCTAGAAGCTTTGTAAAGTCTCAGGGTACCCGGTTTTTATATTCGGTGTTGGGATGGTCGAACATGTGATCTTACGTTGTTTCTTAAGTCATAATGCTTATTTGCAAAGGGATCTCTGCAATGTGCAACCTTGCTCACATCTAAAGTCTAAAGGGCCTTGCACAGCCCAGCGATACTTGAAATGTAATTTTGGCGGGCCCTAAACCCTAAACCCTCAAAGCCCTAAACCCTAAACCCCCGACTCGCTCAGCCATGTAGGAGGCAAAAAAAACCCCCAAAGCCTTAAGCCGAAAGCTCAGGTACTGGGGAGCCTTGCAGGAGGCCTGGGACGGACCAGCCCTGGTGGCCTTCTGCGACGGGGAGTACATGGGTGCCTGGGATGTTGGGGCGCGCCGAGTTGGGGAAGTGTGCGGAGTTCGAGTTGTAAACCCTAAACCCTAAACCCTAAACCCTCTTCTGTAGTCTAGGATAGATTTGTAGCGCGAAGCGTGGCAAAAAATGCGTAGAAAAAAAGGTGTGAAAGGCGAGGCTTTAGCTTTAGAGACTTGGTACCCCCGAATTCCGGCGCAACCCTGTGGCCCATTGAAGCCCCAGAATGCATTCTGGACCTTCCCGCCTCCCTGGTGTTTAGGGCTTTCGGGGTGACGATGCCGAGGACCTCAAAGTCGCAGCCCTGAGCCCCTCAACTGGACATGAACACCTCCGCTTCAAAAACACAGGTTTCACCTCCACCCGCACCAAGAAAAATTGCCTGGTGAGCACCGAAACCCTAAACCCTAACCCTAAACCCTAAACCCTGAACCCTGAACCCTGAACCCTGAACCCTGAACCCCTGAACCTCGACCCTAACCCCCGGAACCTTGGAGAGCAACGGGCGTTGAGGTGCCACCTTGGACCGCAACGGCCTCAGGCCTGCAAGGTACTTCCAGCTCAATGCGCCCCGCCTGTGAGCAAAGCCCTGAAGGGTGGAATTTGGGGATCGGAATACTTCCTCTATACTTGTCGGGGTTTATCAAGGCTTTCCATACGTGTCGGGGTTTATCAAGGCTTTCCATACGTGTTTTCTTGTAGTTAGGGGTCAGAATACTTACTTGCAGTGGCCAAGTACGCTACAGTGTAAACGCAGAACCAAGACCCATTGAGGCAAGCCCTAGACGGTAAAAGCTAAACCCATTTCTTGCAGGGTCTGCGGTAGAACAGTTGCCAATGTTATTCGTTGGGGTTCCTTATTCTGCTCATAAACAGTACACTGTATCCCAACACCCTGTTCGAATGGCTACGGCCCTTGTATTACGGCAAGAGTTCAGGGGGAAGAATTCCAACGTCACCACACTTTTCGATCGAACGCGACTGTTTGTTATGTGGGAGAAGCTCCCGCAGGATGTGTTTTGAGCGAGTGGCTCTGTGCAGTTCCTTTGAGACTTAGGGTTGGGGGTGTAGGGTTTGTACTATTTGTGTCGTGAGGTAAGCCTTCGTGGAAGGGGGGTGAGAAAGAAAGGAACCCTCCCCCTTTAACCCTAAAAAAAAAACCCTAAACCCTAAACCCTTGACTCACTTTCGGCGCCACTCCGAAGCCTCCGAGCCCACTCCGAAACCTCCGAGGACGGGACCTGTGTGGTTAGTTCCGAGACTGGGATCCTGGACAGCGAGCTTTTTCCAGCAGCTGCCCAGCTGAAACCCAGCTGCTCGCGTAGAATTTACGATGTCAGAGAGAGTCACCGCTGAATGCAACAACAAAGTAGTTCCCAGAAGTCATGGTAACAGGAGCGCGGCCAAATGAACGGCCCCCTGCAGAATGGAAAGCCAAGAGCACCTTTGCACAACCATCACCTCCTTGCGCTGGCATCTGCTGCGCAGCCAAAAGTACACACACGCTCCTGAAAACTAGGCCCTGAACGCTATCCAGTGGACTCCGTGACTGTTTGGAAGAACAAGCGAAGACTGCAACAGCAAACACACCGTATCTTCACCCAAACTGCAGTCCTCGGACACTCTACTATACCCCAATCATAGAACCCTGCGGACCCCCTACAGAAGCCCTTTTGAAACCCTCGTCAAATTCTTGTAGAGCCTCTACAATAAGTTTTTATAAAACCGCGTTGAACCCCCCCATAAGCCCCCATACGCCCTGAGACCTTCCCTAAACCCGAAACCCCTTTTGAAATCCCCAGAAGCCCTAAACCCTAAACCTAAACCCTAAACCCTAAACCCTAAACCCTAAATCGTTCACCTTCCGGAACCCAGGCCATGTTCAAGTCGAAAGGCCGACTCGGACCCGGTGCGATGGTGGCTATTGACCTCCACACTGGCCGCTGGTTGAAGCATGTTCAAGGTTAAGGCCCTCAACCCTCGTAGCACATCGCACTCGTTGGCCGGGCGAGCTCCAATCAAGCCTGTGTAAAAAGGCCCTAAACCCTAAACCCTAAACCCTGAACAGGAGGTTAGTTAGGGACTGAGGGTTGAGGGATCAGGGAGACTTGGGACTCCGGGATTTGAGGGTTTAGGACGTTTCGCCATAGAGTGGTGCGTCCAGAACACCTCATAGAGCCGCATGAGCTGCTGGATGCCCCCACACCCAGGCGAGCTCATAGAGAACGACGAGATCAAGAAGAAGCGACTTGGCTTGTTCTGCTGTCGGCGACACCCTAGTCGTGCTAGTATCGGCAAGCCGTAGGAACATTCATTATACCATTGGTTACTTACTTCTGCCAGGAGTAGCAAAGTTGATGCCCCAAAGCCATACTGGCGTGCTGGCATTAACGGCAACAGCATCCGTTCTAATCAGCATCAAGCCACGCTCATTGCCCGAATGCTCCTGCCTCTCTTCACCACCATCAAAACTGTGAGCCTGATTGTAAATGCTAACGTCCGTCGTGCCAGTTAGACGGTCTAGTGCCTCGAGTCCATCGTGCCAGTTAGACGGTCTAGTGCCTCGAGTGAAGCATGATGATGCTTATGGTGATGACGGTGATGATGGGATGGTAATGGTGGTGATGGTGGTGGGGCTGATGATGATGGTGTCATGATGGCAACAACGGCTTTGGGTATGTGAGTCGGCCGGTCCGGAAGTCTAGATGTCTAGATACACTTGGCTCTCTGCGTGCTAGCTGGGGTGCATCCGAGCGCCGACAGTCCAGGCCCATTTATGGGTTCCGCACGCAAACGTCAGGATGTCAGAGTTGTTTGGGAGGTTTGTTCAGGCCGGCCTAGCAAGACACGAGGACACGGTTGTCAGCCTTGCAGCCAGGATGGCAGCCAAGAAGCCTTATGGCGACTGGAATAAGGCCTGGTATTTTCTTGAACACCTCGGGGTATATATATATATATGTATATATATATATATATAGAATAAGAATGTTATATATATATATATGCACAGAGAAGGACTGTACTTCTCGAAGAGACCCCAAGAAACGGAGTAGTTGCGAATGTACCGACTACTGAAAGAAACCCTGCACTCCAAACCGGAAATCCCTCGTGTGGGCCCAGGAACCTGCTCAGATTGAGCGTCCCAAACATTGGACCCCAGACTATACTGAGGCGTGGAAGCACGTTCAATACATCCACCGGGCTGTCACGGCAGCTTACGCACCAAGAACTTGTAGCCCAACATGCAAATCACCTCCTTTGGGGGTTCCTTATCATAGTTACCGTATAATATACACCAAAACCCTATTCTAATTGTTAAGGCCCCTACATTAGTTTAGCGCCGTTTCTGGGCTAAGAGAAGATGCCTCTTTCGAGCTGCGCAGGCCTCTTCTGTGCAGGGCCCTCACGCCGCACGTCTGAAAGCCACAAACGCTCAAACCCTGGTCTCATACCCTGAACCCTTTCAATTCTGAAGCGGATAGACCCCCTGAAGCTGCAAACCTTCTGAGTCGCAAGCCCTGCCCTCTTGAGGATCCATGCCCAGAATTAACCCTTGAAGCCCTTAAGGCGAAACCTCTGGAACCGACTCCAGATCCCATTCTACATCCCATGCCCTAAACCCTCCTACAAGCTTGCAGCAGGTCTTTCGTGAAGAAATGGGCCGCGAGCCTTTCCTCTCTGCGAACCACGACCTCGCCGTGCCAAGGGCCTGGGCCCCTTTTGGGTGGATAGTAAGGATTCAGGGGTTTATAGAGGTTACAGTAGACTGTGGGGCTTTAAGGGTTGAGGGGTGTAGCGTTAAGGGGGTTGTCTTGGGTTCGATCGGCGAGTTTAGGAGTTTAAGGTTTGTGAGGGGTATTGTTAGCGCACCGAAAGGCTCTAGAGGTGGTAGAAGTTTGGCTTTGGGGATGAGGGTGTAAGACTTACGGTTTAGGAGCTAGGTTTTAGGAAACGGTGTTTCAGAACCCTCAACTTTACACGCCGTGGTCGCAAACTTGTATCTAGGTGCTTTTTCAAGCCAGGTTTCCCAGATGGTTCTGTATGATACTGTCCTTTGTGGATCGTCTTAGGAGTACGTATCTCTGTAATCAGGACCGCAAAAATCCCTCGCAAAACGAGCCACACTTCAGGGAGTCCTTCGAAAAAGGAACGTCCGGAAGCCTTTCAACAAGGTTTGCTCCGGCTTACGCTGATGTTGATGATGATGTTGAACATTGGCGATGGGTGAGAATGTTTCTGAGGACAACGAGAAGGGTGAGAACATCGGCCTTTCTGCTTGAAATGATGATGGTACTGTTCATACCTTGGTGTGGTACAAACGGAATGGGTTTTCAGCATTGCAGCTCGTGATTGCCGAGGGGATGGTGCAGACCAAGTTGAGAATGATGATGCTGCAATTGATGACGACAGTGGCACACAGTCTTCGCTGTCCAAGATGAGTGGGTGGTCGCCCACTCCGCCCTTTCATCCATGGATGCTTGCTCCAGTGACCGTCACTTGGCGTAACCCCCAGGCGATCGAGCAGAACCTGATGACTATGCAGTTTGACATGGGCTACACCATCGAGGTGCTGTCGGGGAGTTCGGATCTAGGTGCATGGGGGCTTCCAGTTTCAAACAACAGCTTTCTCTGTTATCGCTATGGCACGGTGGGTGTTTTGACTAACTGGCTTGCTCTTGTGCCTGTTTTGCCTGTGCGCTGAGACTTAGACTCATTGCACTACGCTGAAACAACAACTTATGCACCTCTAGCTTATTCCTAAACTCCTTAACCGTAAACAAGCAAGAGCCTGTCTCGCTGCGGACCTGGTGGAGGATGTCGAGATGGTTGTGGAGGCCATGGCGCAAACAGGAAAGGAGCCCACTTTTTGCATGGGAAACGAGCCTTGGCTGCACACCCTTCTGCCCCAGGCCTTAGACCCAAAACTCCAAACTAAAAGAATTGGTTTGGCATGCTTCTTGGTGACTGCGCCTTTGCCGCTCGGAGCTGCACGTGGCTACTGCGCTTATCCAACAGCTTACTCTATGAGGCAGTTCGCCAAAGTGTGACGAACGGGCTGGTCGCTTGATGTAGGCTCAGGTCCCAGGTCCCCAATTGAGACGGCCAGACTGCAAGCTGTAAGCTGTCTTCCAGGAAATTCTGCGCAATACCAGTACTAGTAAGAATAATAGTTATAATAGTAACGAGGAAAATCGAAAATACTACGAATGAAAATAGTTGCAATAGCAGTGGCAATGGCAATAGTTGCAATAAAAATAATAGTAATCGTAGTAGCAGTAGTAGTAGCAGTAGTAGTAATGGTAAGCGTAGCACTAGTCATCATATTCACAATGCTAATAACTTTCAAACTAGTAATAATATTTTTCATAATCGAAATCATAGTTACAACAACGAATTTGGTAATAATGGTTTTGTCATCAGGCCCAAGACGGCAAGTGAACAGAAGACACGACCAGTCTGGATCCAACCGGAGAGGGATCAGCATAATGTCAAGCATAGCTGCGATTTTCATCGGAGGCATGACTCGCGAAGTTTCATCGGCTTGGACTGGCAGAGCATGTTCTTTGAGTCGGTTGCGGTTAGATTAGAGGAATCTTATTCCACTCCAGTCTTTCATTCATCTGCAGGATCTGCAAGCAGTGCCCTCTTGGAAGTGCATGGCTCGTACACGGTTGGCCTCTGCCATGAAGGATTGTGTTCGGGTTCCGTTGAAGGACTACCCTAGAGGTTACTACAAGACGAAAGGGGGTACTCTAAGTGTGCAGTGGGTTGCGACATAGGTCCAGATTCTCTACTGCGACTCTCGCCTGGCTTCGCCAAGTGAGTGCAACAGATTTTGACACGCTAAAACTCAGTCACTCACTCGCAATACCGCAATGCGCACTAAGCCACTCAATCCATGAATCCTAAGGTCCATCGAACGGATTGTGTTTCAGCGCATGCAGGTCAACACAGCTGTTGGACCTGAAATGCTGGCAGGGATCCCTAAAGCCTGACCCTACTCATGCGGTCTCTGGATGAGAAGCTGACCTAGGATAAGCCGCTGGCGGTGGTGTCTGACAGAGCCAGATCCCCAGGATCTGAAGCTTCCTCATGTGGTTTACATATTGTTTGATAATGCTAGCAATAATTCTAATGGGGATTACTCTCCCCGGAAGAATTGCACATCTCGGTTTGCAGTTTTGGCTATCTTCCTTCGGAGGTGGTTGATTCACGAAGTTCGCTTGAGCCATTGCTAGTCGTATGCTCCGCTATAAAGTGCTTATGCCATATACATATATATATATATATATACACACGCATATATATATATATATGTATATGTATATATATATATATGTATATGTATATATATATATATATATCTGCATATATACATATCTACACATGCATACATGTGTGTTTCAAGATTAGAATATATCCAAAAACCCTGTATTAATTACTCAGGCTCATATATTACCCAGAGGCTGTCGGGAGACGTGCGTTCGGCTTTCCCGTGCTGCAAGCGGGCATGACACAGGCCCACGTCCTCTACGACTACTTCACCCAGCGCTTCGCACAGGCTTGGAGTGGGTTTAGGCTTTAGGGTTTTAGGGTTTAGGGTTCAGGGTTTAGGGTTGAGGGTTGTCCGTGCTGAAAAGGGTTGAGGGTTTGGGAGTGCAGCGCGGATACAAGTCTTTCCCGGTAACCCGGTAGAGTCGCTCCAGAGCAGATGCAAAAGGGTTTGGGAGTGGACCTGGGTTGTTTGGATGGGTTACTAGCGCACGAGAGAAGGGCTTGGGTGTTCATTGGCGCCCATTGGCGACAGTCCCAGAGATGTGGGCCTTGGGTTGTGTTTAGGGAGTCATGCGCAAGGTCACCAACCCGGCCATCGACCCCTACCGCGAGTCCCTCGTGATGTCGACGGATGTTTTCCTGGGTCGGCAAGGCCACATGCCGGGGATAATCCGACACCTTTACCAGCCTTTGTTTGCCAGGCAACCTTATGGCAGAGGCACCGACCTATTTCCAGAACAAGGCCAATAACCGTTTGGTAAAGGCCGGCATATTCTGGGATGTTTCGGCTCTTTAAAGTTAAGCAAAAACCAGTGAGTCACCAGCTTCCTCAAGCTCTTCCGCGGAGGTGGACTCGCCGTTCCTGAATGAAAGACAGTTGTATGTCGGGCACTGAGCATTTTCTGGCAGCCGTGCTCCCGTGGACGTTGAAGGAGAAAAAGCGACTCTTGTCTCTCTTCTTCGTCACCTACAAATTGGCAGGGTTTTGGGTTCTCAAATTTCCCATCCGCAAGTTCTCGCAATTTGCCATCGGTTTGCAACTCCTCTGCTGTGGTACTCTATCGTGCTGCGCAACAACATGGGGCCCGGGGACAGAGTACGGCGATGCGCAGCTTGCCATGGCGAGTACATGCCATGCGCAAGACCAAGACCGTGCGAAACTATTACCTGATCTTATTCACACATGCTGCTGTTGGTGCTTGTGCCACAGATAGTACACAAGTATGCCTGCTGAGTGCAGCTAGGCCGCGGGCGGATGAGCATGTGCCAGCTACCACAGCGCGGCTTTCGGCACCATTCGCCTCACATGCCAGACGACGGCAGGGACGAGGGTCGACGACGACGACGACGACGACATCGGGCCATGAGGGCGACGACGACTGTCATCATGACTGCTGTGGCGGTCGTTGCGACCGACACAACGACGCCATTGTTTAGCTTCGGTTGCACTCGGCAAGCTTGTGACGAACTTCTCAGGTTCGACTCGCTTGACACGCTTTTTTTACAGGCGGCTCCGTTATGGGAAATGAACTCCGGGCTGCAATGAGCAAGCATACGCCAGCCACAGGTAGTTCTGCTTTCAGTATGGGAACGAAGCCCTAAACACTGAAACACAAAAGCCCTGTGCCCTAAACCCAAAACCTACGCCCGAGTTGTGAGCGCCGAAATCGCGAACCCTTTTTACCCTGGTTTCAAAGCCCTCAGTCAGCGCTCAGGGTATCAGGAACAGTGGTCTGCTGACGGTGCAGCTCAGCACCCGATACGACTTCGAGCGAGGTCCGGGTGCCCTGGAGAAGGTGCCTACAGGGCCTACAGTTTCAGAACATGAGGGGGGGGGGGTTACCTTCTTCTTGCTTTTGGTAGTATTCTTAGTCTTACTAATGATTCTTAGTATGATTAGCATAACTAGTATTAGTAGCCCTAGTATTTTCAACATTGTGACTATGTTGCCCCGCGGAGCTGCTACATGTGGCTACAAGTGTGCAATGCCGGTGACAAAATTAGTAGTATCATTCGTGCTGCTTCCCGGTATGAGTATTCTCATGCTTATGCTTACTCTTTTTATCACTATTATTATCATTCTTGTTCTTGTTCTTATAATTAACACATGAATAGTGCACTGTATAGCTACATGAATCTGATTGAGAGGTCCTTGTAATGAGGCTCCTAGAATCCCAAGCCCCAAATCCAGGCCTAGGTGAACCCTGAATCCCGCGAAGCGGTTTCCAGTTTCCAGAACTGTTTCCCGGACCTGCAGAAGCTGTCAATATTCTGTAGTGGCCATAAGAAAGTTGATTTTGGGTACTGTCCTCGCTCTGTAACAGTTGTAGACAATTTACAATATCGATATATCAGGCGGCTAGTTGTAGCCCTAGTATAGACTGTTACTGTATCGGGGCAGTACCCGAAGTTTATTCCACACTCGGCTTGGCTCCTGTCATTTGTTTGAGCTCCATCGATGCAGGTGGACATCTGCATCGCCCACTCTGTTTAAGCTTTTCTACCTTGAACTGAGTTCTTGTTAGGGTATTTGTAAAGAAACCATATTCTTTATCAGAGATCCCTTTGGTAACTTATACTAAGTTCCTATCAAGAACTCAGTGGCTGCACCATTCGGACTTTATCTCGAGCCCGTGGGACAGGCGGTGTCGGACCTGTGCTACGAGGCCTCCAATGCCATTCGAAACGGGGCCGAGTTAATCATCCTTTCCGACGTTCCACGCAACTCTGCCCCCTGGCTTCTTCAGCAGCAGGCATTTACTTCATCGGAGTAGTTTGCAGTAATATCCCCTTATAGTCCGTGCAACAGTCTACTATAATATGCTCCAAAACATAATTCTAATTACTAAGGCCCTATACTGCTAAGTTCTTGGCTGTCCCCCCTTAGGACCCTTTCTGTGTGTTGCAACCAGACTGCCGAGCCGAGGATTTCATGTCCTTCGATGTGCGCGACCCGGATATCGAGCTCGAGAGGTCCATGTTAGCCATCCCACCACTCCTGGCCGTCGGTGCGGTTCACCATTACCTGCTCCTGGGTCCTTGTTAAATTTCGGGTTTAGGGTTTGGTGTGTAGATCAGAAAACAGCACAAGTTAGTAAGACCAGAATGTCCTTAAGCCTAAACCCTAAACCCTAAACCCTATCAGCTCTCAAAAAGGCCGTGTGATATCATGAGCCGAGGATCCAACAAGGGCTCCGTACTCAGGCATCCCTGGTTGTGAGCACGGGGCAGTGTTGGAGCACTCACCACTTTGCCTCTAGGTTCCCCAGCAGTACCCTTTTGCCATTTTTGGTTTTTGGGCTCCCTATCATAGTGGAGAAAGGGGTACCCTGATGATTCGGGGGCTACTGGGGAGCCTAGGCCTGCCTCATCGGCTACGGCGCTTCCGCCGTCTGCCCCTACCTGGCGCTGGCACATATCCGTCGCTGGCATTCCACGGACAAGGGCGCTGCGAAGGCCGATGGGCAGAGCGTGGAAGAGGTGCAGGCCAACTACAAGCGAGCCATCAATGCCGGGCTGAAGAAGATCATGTCTAAGATGCTTAGTTCCCCAATAGCCAACCTGTAAAGTTGCTGAGTTCTTATAATTTAGTAGTACTCTCAACGTTGAACCAAGGATGGGCATTTCTGTGTTGGAGTCGTACCGGGGCGCACAAATCTTCCAGTGTATCGGGCTCGACGAGAAGGTGGTCGAACGGGCCTTCACAGGCACCCCCTGCACCGCTCCGGCCCTGTCCTTCACGGATATTGCCAACGAGTCCATGATGTTCCACCGCAGGGCCTTTCCAGAGCTGGAGGAGACGGCAGAGAAGCTGGAGTTTGCCGGGTGGTACCGGTACATCAAAAACAAAGGCGAGTTCCACATGAACAATCCGGACATGGCAAGGGCACTGCACCGGGCCGTGCGGAACAAGGAGCCGTTGGCCTACGAGGAGTACCTAGGTCTCTCTGGAGTACCCTTTACGCTATTTTTTTTTCGGGCCTCCTTGTTAACACCCCTAAACCTTAAACATCCATGGGTTGTTGGGGGCCACAAGGTACCGGCGACAGATCATGGATGGCCGGCCGGTTACCGCCATCCGAGACCTTCTGGATTTCGCATCAGATCGCCAGCCAGTGCCGCTGCAAGAAGTGGAGGTGTGGGTTTGTGCGGCTTCGTAGGGCCCCTAGACAACTTGTAGAGTTCCCTTAAGGGTTATTTTGAGGGTTGCTCTAGCACACTAGGAGTAACTACAGCGCTTTTTATAAGGGTTATATCATGAGTTTCGATAGGGGTTCCCTGAAAGCTTTCTAGAAGGGGAACCATCGGGTTTAGGGCTTATCTCGGGTTCAGGTTTCAAGCTAGCTTGGCTGAGGGGATTCAGGGCTTAGTGCATTGCAGTCCCTGCTCAAAAAAGGGCTTAGAAGCCCGACTTGCGAGAAAGAAGATTGCAACGCTAAGGGCAGCCCTTTCAGTAACCCCTATAAGAACCCGAAAAGTGACCTCTACAGTATCCCGTGCAGCAGTAGTAACCTCTGGTGACGTGAAGATCTGGCTGCATTTTCTGCAGCGAATTCATTCAACTGGGCATAGGTCGGGTTTGGGGACTTGCGCAGGGCAGGAATGGAGGCTTCTACTCAGTTTCGGTTTAGAGTGTAGGGTTTTGGATCGAGGTTCGGATTCGGTTTGGGCAACCCTAAACCCTAAACCCGAAAAGGGACCCTGATTTTCGTCATTGTCCACAGAGACCTGAGAGGATGCCCTCTCCATCTGCAACCGCTTCGTCACCGGCGGAATGTCCCTGGGCGCTCTGTCGCGGGAGGCGCACGAGGTCATCGCCTTGGGCATGAACCGGATCGGAGGCATGGGCTTATTGTCATTATTGTTATTACAGCTACTATATTTCATAGTCATGTCAAAATGCATGGAGGAGGATAGTTCATCTTATCAGTATTATTGTCATTAAAAACTCCTTGGATATTATCGGTATTTTTGTTATTGCTACTATTATAGCCATTATTCATCTTATCATTATTCTTATTATTATAACCACTTTTAGATATTATGGGGCATTTTTGTTATTACAATTAATACTAGACCAAAAGCCCATGAGCCGGATCCGAGGCATGAGCAACAGTGGCGAAGGCGGCGAGGATCCTGTGCGGTTTCATCCCATCGAGGCCTGGAGGTGACAATCACGACTAGTAGTTATTAGTAGGTTTTTTGTCTTAGGGTTTAGGGTTTAGGGTGTAGGGGTGAGGGTTGCATGGGCGCTGGCCGTCACCTCAGTCTGTGCTGAAAGGGTGTAGGGTATTAGTATAAGAGTTTTTGGTCTCATGACGAATGTCTCTGAGTAGCGTTCCTATTGTTGTTACTATCATTCGTACTATGATGATGATCATGTATGATTAAAGTTTTTTCTGGTTGACAGGGCAGAGTTAGGGTAGACAGGCTGAGCCTGAAGCTTGCGGGAGGACGTAGACGAAGAAGGCAATTCGGCAACTTTCTCTCACCTCAACGGTCCTCGCCTGAGAGCAGCAGCACGCATCCTTTGACCATCCCAAGTCATGCCCCCGACAAGTGAGGCTTGAGGAATGGGGATTCTGCGACATCCGCGACGAAGCAGGCATCTCTCCGCAGTCGCATTGACTCATGAGGGTAATTAAACGTTTTTCCGCGCTCCGTTCTGGAGACCAATTGCTTGAATCTGCAGCTGTTGGTAGCCTCCTCGGTCTTAGCCGTAGCTTGCGTCTCAACTTCTGACCCCCTCAGAACCTCAGGGGCCGAGACTTCATTTCCGGAGCCACTAACCCGCTTGCTGTGCTGGGAGACTGTGCTTCCCGAACCTCGTCTGGCTTCTCCGAAAGTGAGGGCCGAAACCTCCAAAATCAAATGCGAATGATCATTATAATCATCACAATACTGCTGCTGCTGCTTCTAGTAGTAGTAGTAGTAGTAGCAGTAGTAGTAGTAGTAGTAGCAGAAGAAGAAGAAGTAGTAGTAGTAGTAGTAGTAGTAGTAGTAGTAGTAATAGTAGTAGTAGTAGTAGTAGTAGTAGTAGTAGTAGTAGTGGCAGTAGCAGTGCGACAACTACTACAACTACTCTGGCTACTACTACTACTACTGCTGCTGCTGCTGCTGCTACTACTACTACTACTACTACCACTACTACTATTACTATTCCTATTGTTAACATTAGTAATAACATTATATTAACAGTCACAACAATCAGAATAATATCAGTAGCAATATTAGCAACAGTACTAATACGATCACTAAACATCGTGACGATAACGGGGGATCTATAGTCAACAACAGTCATGGTAAGTTAAACTAAACTCCTTAACAAGAGCCCGGATTCCCTGCGTTCCAGGTGGCCTCGGGTCGCTTCGGAGTCACTGCTGCCTACTTGCGCAGTGCTGCTCTCAGTCTTCTGCAGGCGGTGGCCAGGTCTGAAAGTATATTTGACTATCTTCCCTTAAAGGGACCCTTAAAGAGAGAGAGAGAGAGATATATATATATATATATATATGTGTGTGTGTGTGTGTCTGTGTGTGTGTGTGTTCATATGTGAGGACATGCATCTACGCATGATGCTGTATACAAGTGCATCAGCAGGCACGACACGAGGCGAGACGGATACGTGCAGTTGGCCTGGCAAAGCTGATGTCTGAATGCATGTGTGGCCGCTGATACGAAGGCTGAGACAACATGCGCAGTCAGTGGACCCCCAACGCCAAGATCTCTCATTTCAGCGGAGATAGCCTCCCCTGGTTTCGTCGAGCTGTGAGATCAAACGCAGAATTCCAAGCTCACAAACCCTGAACCCTTGAGGCCCCACACTAACCCTGCCGCCGAAAAGCCTTACAACGGGACCTAGCGCGCAACCATATAACAGGTTACCAGGAGCTCCATATTGCTGAAAGCTTAGGTGCGAAGCAGCTGGAGATCAAGCAGCTTGGAATGTATAGTCGGGGCTGAGGGTTTCTGGAGCAATGCGTAGGGTTTCGACATTGAAAGTCGGGGTTTAGACGGAGTCCACGATGCTGGGGCTCAACATTGGAGCCTATACAGACTAGGATTCCGAGCTGTTCCGGAAAGCCATCAGCTCTATCCGATAAGCAAGCACGACAGGTGGCTTTTTGGGGGCTCAGGATTGAGGTACGATGCAGTTCTAGGTGGACAGAGGCCGTGCCCTGGATATGTAAGTATTTTTCATCCTCGCCTGCAGCGTCGAGCGCGAGTGCTAAAAAGTATTGTAAAATATAGAGATTTTTTGTCTTGTCATAGTGACATAGTGCCTATAAAATGATATTCTAAACTCTAAACTACCCCAAACCCTGATTCACCAAGCCTGGTGCACCACATGTCCCAGCAACGCTTGCTCGAGCACTTTTACAGGAGCAAAGGCAAGCTGAAAGCGTTGAGGTCTTGCGATGTCTTGCGGTTCAGGGATGGCTTATGTTTTTTTTGCTAAGGTGGGCGTGTTCAGTACGGGGCGTAGGGCGCGGGGATTATCTGTTATTTCCACAGATCGACCCACCGTCAACAGCCGAAGCCAAGACTATGCTTGCCCTTGGTTAAGCAACCCTAAAGTGGATCAGTATCGCTACAGACTACAGACCTTGCCTTGCTTGTCCGAGAGTGAGTGTCAAAAAAAGCCCGAACCCACACCTCAAAACCAAAAGCCCTCAACAAAGGTGCCTAAACCTAACCCTGAACCCTAAGCCCTGAATCTGTGAAGCGAGGATTGCACAAGGCGCCAAGCCTGGCGAAGGTGGCCAGCTCCCTGGACCCAAGGCGTGGGTTTAGGGTTGAATGTAGGGGCCTTGATGATTGCTTATACTATTATGGGGCGCTCCTTATTATCGTTATGGTATAATATACCCCCCAAAGCCATATATTCTAATTACCTCGGGCCCCTACATTAGGGTTTCTAATCCTTGCAGGGCGGCGCTTATGTCAGACAGGCAGGTGGCAAAGCGCCCTAGACCCCAACAGGTCTTAGACCCAGGCCTTCTGTACGCTGAATCCTGTCTGGGCTGGGTTTAGGGGTTTAGGGTTTAGGGGTTTAGGGGCTTATGGGGTTTAGAGTTTAGGGTTTAGGGTGGGTTTCGGGGTTTAGGGTTTAGGGTTTAGGCTTATACTGCGCGTGTCTTTAGAGGCCAAGGGAAGGGTTTAGGGTCTAGGGTCTGGGGTTTAGGGTTTAGGGTTTTCTTGTTCGCACCTTCGAGCCAAAACCCGAAGCACCACAGTATACGCCCTCGTGCCCAGAAGTCTGTAAACCTGGTCCAGAGCTATCCGCAAAAGCTGAAACCACAAGACCCAAAGCCATAGGCCTCCAAGAAGCAACATGTCTCAGCCCTTGGATTTTCGAGCTCCTTCATCGACTGCCCCAATAAGAGTAAGAATAGCAATAATAGGCCGGAAAACAGCAGTGAGACGAGTAACAACAAAATACAAGAGCGCTAGCAGCAGCAACAACAGTGAACATAGAGCCTACCTTCCGACAGCCTTCTGAAGTTTGAGGGGCTTGATAGAAAGCCTGAACCCCGAAACCTAAGACCTCGCCTGGAGTGTCCAAGTTGTGAGAGTGTAAACCCTCAAGTTCCAAAGCCGTAATCTTGGGGCCTTGGTATATAGTACAAGTTAGTTGTTCTGAGGAACCAACCCTAAGGCCTAGATACGCTTAAATCCTAAACCCACCCTAAACCCATCAACCCGAAGCCCTAAACCCTGAATGCCTTTCTGGGTTTCTGAAGGTGGACGAGTACATCGCCAGACTCCGCAACAGCGCCCCCCAGCCAGAACTCAGAGTTGCAAGGTTCAAGGGGCTCGGCCTCAGGCTAGCATCGTTGTGTATTGCCCCATTATCACCATCATCATCGCCTTCGTCATCGTCATCATCACCACCACCACCACCACCATCATCATCATCATCATCATCATCATCATCACGGCCACTGCCACCACCACCGCCATCGTCAGCAGGAACATAGCCGCCAGAGGTCAGCCGCAGAAGCAGCAATAGCAGCAGCACCAGTGGCTGACAATGCTCGTGCAGCCCACCATTTTTTGCAATAGACAGGCTGGCCTTGCTGCTGGCTGTATTTGTCACAGTCGTCACAAGCAAGTGTGCATCCTGGCTGATGTAAGGTTCCTGGTGTAGAGTTGATCTCGCCACCGCCACATCACGACATCTACTCCATCGAGGACTGTGCTCTCTCGAGCCAGGTGTGTGTGTGCGTGCGTGCGTGCGTGCGTGTGTTCTTGTCACATGGGCGAGCTGTCTGTGCGTACCGAAAGCCAGCAAAGCCTGAACTCTAGGCGGATAAGAGTCTCCGACTTCTGCATTTGCTCCAAGAGTGTTTATGGCCTGCACCAAGACGCCTATAATGGTCTAGGGGTTAGCCTTCCAAGTACCAATAATAAGGAGCTGTTACGTCGACCGTATTCTTAGTCATATGCCAGATGTCAAGCGTGACGTGTGGAAGGGACATAGTGTTCTTGTGAGCTTCTCCACCTTGAACAACACAGAGGTGGATTGGTTGATGTGGTTTGCTGACATGCAATAGTCTTGACGGCTGCCGATTCCCAGCTGATGCAGAATTTGAGTCTGGGCTCAAAAGAGGAAACCGTATATGGAGCGATGCATGTTGAATCTTCCGTAGAGAACGCTGAACAAAGAGCCCTTATGCGAGGGTCGGGCACCAGCCCCTGCTCCAGAGAAGCCTCCTTAAACCCTAAACCCTAAACCCAAGCCTCTGGCAGGATTTGGCTCAGCTGATCTTCGACTTGCATCAGGCCGGGCTGAGGGCAAGAGCTGCAGGCTTCTTCATAGTTTCAGATGCCGTTGATCGGCGGATGCTAAAGCTGGCTCCGCAGTCAAGCTGCTAGGGCTGCTTGCTCCAACTCCGGGCGAAGTGGAAAGCCTGTTGCAAAAAGGGTTTAGGGTTTTACACAGTCGTTGCAATTTCAAGCGCAGCTCGGCAAGGTGATGTGTATTCTTGAGGAGTACTTAATGATTATCGTATAATATACCCCAAACCCCCATTCTAATTACTCAGGCCTTTATTCTACATAAAATGCTTCATTGCCCAAGGAGTATGTTTTGAGAAACCTGCAAAGTAACAGAAGGCTTTCCCAATCTGTGCATGCCAGGCCAGAACTCGAATAATGCAGAAGCCCAAGTAACTACCAACATTATCCCTTCGGCTTCGTTAGGGTTTGGGCTTTAGGGTTTAGGGTTCAGGGTATTCATGCGATAATACTATAAATGAACCCAAACCCAGAGTCAGCGATGATGATGCCAAGCGGGAGCCAACAAAAACCCAAAACCCTATTCTACTTACTAAGGCCCCGCTTAACTATATCTAACAAGCTTCAAGCGGTTAGCACTCTTGATGGTTCGTGGGAGATTCTTCCTGACCACTCGCATCTTAATTTCTGTGCTGGCAGTTCGCATGCAGCTCTCAGGTCAGTCCCGATGCAAAGGTATCCGTGACTTTGGCTTTGATGGTCTTCGCATTACTTTGAGTCTCTTTTAATTTGAGTCTCTCCCCAATCCTGAGCTGATTATTTGTGGCTCCTAAGCCTGTAATGTAAGGCTCAACCACACGATGTACTTCGCGCTGTCCTAGCCTTTCTCGTGCATAAGTGCGTGCGCACGTGGAAAGGAGCCATACCCAAGTCCTAGCCGCTAGCCGAACTGCTAGCCGATCAGTTCCAGTCGCAATACAGCGGCCTCGATAATAACCTATATTATGTTGGGGGCTCCTTATTATGATTATAGTATAAGATACCCTCCAAACCCTATTCTAATTATTGAGGCCCCTACATTACGCAAGTTGTAGAAAGATGGTGTTGGTGTGACTTCGACAACTAGTAACTAGTAGCCTCGTGCCAATAGGTGTCGGGATCATCTAAAACAGACATGCGATACACAATTTGAGCAGCTCCTCTTCCTGACTGCAGTTGAAGTCGCCATGTGTTCGATACTTCCGGCTTTCATTTGCAAACATCATCCCTCACTACTACCTCCCCGTGATCTCAACCTCTGTGGAGAGACCCATCATGTCTTCTTTTTGGTCGAAGATTCACCCTAAACCCTAAACCCTAAACCCTAAACGATGGCATCATGATACCCAGGTGGGCATATGAGGTTAACGGAAATCGGCAGTCAACCTCCGACATGTCTGGGACTTTCCGAAAATAGGGGGGTACCTTATTTTGGGGTCCTTATAAGAGGGATCCTACTATTTGGGGTGCTATATTAGGGTCCCCTATTTTTGGGAACCCCCATGTGGCATACTAAGATGTATTCGTCTTCTGCCTCGGGTGAAAATCAGTGTTCTTGACCTGTGCGAAGGGAGGATAGAGCAGAAAAGCTGAATGGCAAGAACCCGCATGTTAAGCTGTATCAAAGTATGTGCCCATACGACCAGTATCACCAGATGCATGAAGAAGCTTGTATGTTTGATATGAAGAGCCCCGCATATTCGACACTTGACAAGTTCTATAACGCAGACCTTTCATCATTGTTCAGAAGCGTTCACAGCACATCGGGGCTTCCAAAGGGGTAACTGGTGTCTTCTGTATTCGTCATGAGTTGGTACTCTTGTGGAGATGGATGTGAAGATGGAAGAGTATTCGTACTGGCTTGCTGGTGTTGGTTTCTGGTGGTGATATATGGGGGCTACGAGGGGTTATGGTGGTTAGCCAATATGGGCAAGGTCTCTGCCAGCTCATACGCATAAAAAATTCGTAGAGGGTTGCCTAGCAGCAAAGCCCTCCTGCTGTCACGCAGCACAACTCGTGCTCCAGTTCCACAGTTCACGAAGCACAGCAGGCCCCACAGTTCACAACCCCAAGATATATCAAATGAAATCCAACCTCGAGCACCCTAAACCCTAAACCTCAAGTCTAAAACCCTCAACCTCTAGTCCTAAACCCTAAACCTCAAGTCTAAAACCCTAAACCTTGAACCTCAAGTCTGAAGCTCAGGTGAAGCTAGTCGCCAGTTCCGGCATCGGTACCATCGCTGCTGGTGTCGCTAAGGCCTTCTCTTGCAGGAGAATTAGGGGTAGTATTTCCTTATGGTCCGTATATAGCTGTGAGTTGTAGTCTAATGTACCTTAAAACCCCGTTCTATTTATTTAGGCCTTTCCTTCTTGTTCACCTTTACAAAGTTGGATCTAGAGTCAGGAGGGCTGGAGGTTGCTAGGTTGTAGGAAGTTCTTCCTTAGCGCCTTAGCGTTTCCGATATAGCCTTACTAGAATACCCCCAAGCCCTGTTCTGGTGAGCGAAGCCTTCTCTTATAGCCCTAAACCCTAAACTCTCATGTCATAGTAACCCTAAACCTAAACCCTAAACCCTATACTTTAAGTTCTAACACCAATCGGAAACTTGAAAGGCGAACGCGGATGTCATCCAAATCTCGGGGCATGATGGCACGGCGCCCAGTCAGAGGAGGCACGAGGCACCACATAGATCCTGCGCTCCAGGGTTGAGGGTTTCAGGGTTTAGGGTTTAGGGTTTAGGGTTTAGGGTTTAGGGTTTAGGGTTTAGGCCTAAGCCTGGGTTCAAAAGGGACCCCAAACCCTGAGGCCTCGACCCTAAACGCTTGAACCCGATCCCGAAGTCGAAGATGAGTCCCTTGCCCATGAACTTTGACGGCTGTCGGCCTCTCAGTTCCTGAGTCGTTCTCTGAATCAGGGTCCCTTGCAGGTTCCTGTTCAGATCCTTTTTTCTCAGGGTGCCATAGAGCATTTTTAGATTTTTGGGACAACGCTGACCGAGGTGGCACTGGTGCCTCTCCACTCAGTTCCTCAGAGGCATTGGCACGAGGTTCCACTCATGGTCGTCAGGGTGTTCTGTCACGGCTTGGGGCGTAGGGTGGAGCGGGGGTCCCGCGTGCGGCTGACCGAGGTAGCATCATGCATGCAGGTGGGCCTTGGGAGCAGGGTCTGTCAGAGGTGCAGGGCGTGCTGGTTGAGAATGGCCTGCGCAACAGGGTCACCCTGCGTGTGGATGGTGGCATCAAAACTGGTTGGGACATTGTCGTGGCCGCCATGATGGGGGCCGAGGAATTCGGGTTCGGCAGTGTGGCGATGATCGCAGAGGGCTGCATCATGGCACGCGTTTGCCACATGAATCGCTGCCCCGTCGGGGTGGCAACGCAGCGGGAAGACCTGCGCCGGAAGTTCCCCGGAACGCCCGACCACGTTGCAAACTTCATGCTCTTCGTGGCTGAGGAGGTCCGAACTATCATCGCAGCTTTGGGTTACCGGTCACTGGATGAGGTCATTGGTCGCTCGGACCTCTTGAGACCACGTGCAGAGAATGCTGTTCGGACCAATGTTCCACAGCCTGCCATGGCTTCCGGACAGAGAAAGCGACGGACCCCCAAGCAGCTCGTGACTGGGCCCTTGTTCAGCAACCTGTTCTCAGCTACCCGATTTATGTAGCGACCTTTACCCACAGGGGTGTCTATGTCTTCTGTATGTATATATATATATATATACACGCATGAGGATAGAAAGTTAGTTTAAGCCAAAGCAAAGCTGTGTCTTTCTTATTCTGGCAAGTTCTGCAGCTAAATTCCAGGTGGCGACCCTATACATGCACCCTTGAAGCCTTGCAATCCCTGGAACCCCCCGAACCCTGAAGCCTTTACCCAAAACCCTGAACCCTAGGGTCTGTTGCGAGAGTCTAAACCCTAAGCCCTAAACCCTTAAAGGAGCCCTTGTAGTACACTTAAAGAACCCGGAGCCCTTCACGTGAAGACCCTAGAAACCACACCAAAGGACCTTCTAATGATGCCTGTTCGTTAGGTAGCAATGCAGGAGACAGAAACGACATCCTTATAAGCCCTCTAATCCCCAAGCCCTAAGCCCTAACCCTAATTCCCTACACGTCAAAACCCTGAATCGACAGATTTCAGGCGAACCCCTGGATCCCAAACCCGCAAACCCTCAAACCCTAAACCCTAAATCCTAAACCCTGAACGCTAAACCCTAACCCGTAAACCCTAAACCCTAAACCCTAACCCCTGAACCCTAAACCCTCAAACCCTAAACCCTAAACCCTCAAACCCTAAACCCTAAACCCTCAAACCCTACACCCTCAAACCCTAAACCCTCAAACCCTAAACCCTCAAACACTAAACCCTAAACCCAAACCCCTAAACCCTAAACCCTAAACCCTAAACCCTAAACCCTAGGCCCTAAGCCCTAAACCCTCAAACCCCTAAGGTGAAGACCAGCTCCATCGACCTCGGTGGCTTCGTCTTGGACGAGCAGCCGGAGGAATCCGACCGCCTCGCCTGGGTGGGTGCGAAAAGAGGTGGGGGGGGGGATAAAAGAGGGGGCTCTTTAGGGGTTCGTTTTCAGGTTCCTTTTTTGGGAAATGTGATGAGAAGAGGTGGGGTTTCAACAAAAGGGGGGGCTCTATACTGTTTATAAGGGTACTGTCATGGTGCCTGTACAGTTGCGAGTTTGGGTTCTATACGGTTTCAGAAGTTTTGAACCTGAGGGTCTTGTGCTTTAGGGTCTGGGGTTTGGCTTTAGGGTTTAGGTTTAGGGTTTAGAGTTTAGAGTTTAGAGTTTAGGGTTTAAGGGTTTGGGGTACCTTACTACAGGAATTTAAGGGTCCTCATAGAGAGGATCCTACCATTTAGGTTCGGTGTTAGGGCCCCTGATTTTCTGAGACTGCGAGGAAGTGCGGCCCATAGCAACGGGCCCGTGTTAGATGATGAGATTCTTTCTGACCGGGAAGTTTCCGGAGTTATTGAGAGCAACAGCGGCAGCGTCTGCAAGGAGATGAGCATCCAGAATGTAGACAGATCCGTTGGTGGTAGAATAGCTGGTGCCATCGCCTCCAAATACGGAGACGATGGCTTCAAAGGTGAGATTGAGCTCAGCTTCGTTGGCTCTGCAGGACAGTCCTTTGGTGTGTGGAACACCTCAGGTGTGCACCTCAGAGTCGAAGGAGACTGTAACGATTATGTGGGAAAAGGCATCAATGGAGGTACCATCGTGGCCATCAAGCCGCGGGATAGCTCCTTCTCATCAGAGCAGAATGTCATTGCAGGTAACACCTGTCTCTATGGCGCCACGGGCGGTCAGGTTTTCTTGAGTGGCCGCGTGGGCGAACGATTTGGCATACGAAATGCTGGCTGCGAAGCGGTTATCGAAGGTTCGGGCGATCACCTGGGTGAGTACATGACCAATGGGGTGATTGTTGCTCTGGGCACGGTCGGCCGCAATGTTGGTGCTGGAATGAGCGGTGGGCTTCTGTATATCTACGACCCTGAAGAGAAGGGGCTGCAACTGAATGCAGACAACCGAAGAAATGCCTTCCGCGTCACGGCCAGGGCAGGCCAAGAGCAGCTAAAGAGCCTCATCCGGAGGCCAGGATGCGTGGGGAAACCTTTGGGGCTTCAGGGTTTCGGGTTTGGGTTTTCGGGTTGAAGGTTTTCGGGATTAGGGTTTTCGGGCTTGGGCCCGTCATAGCATCGTCCGGCCTGACCCGGGACTAGCCTCCCCCAAACCCTAAGCTACACCCTAAGCCCTAAACCCTAAACCCCTAAACCCTGAGCTCAAGACTGCAAGATCAAACCCAAAGCAAGAGCATGCCTCCCGGAGGTGGAACTCCAGGGCTTCATGGGAGGAGTTAGTATTCCTTCTTCTTCGTCTTACTACTACTGGTACTAGTACTAGTACTAGTACTAGTACTAGTACTACTACTAGTACTATTACTACTACTACTACTACTACTACTACTACTACTACTACTACTAACTACTACTATTACTAGGAGGCAAAAAAAACTACTACTACTACTACTACTACTACTAGTATTATTACTACTACTACTACTACTACTGCTACTACTACTACTACTACTACTACTACTACTACTACTACTACTCTTAGTATTACGAGTATGATTACACTGTGAGGTCCGTTACACTCAAGCTTCAACCCCCCCCTCCCCAAGAACTTCAATTTTCAGCCTGAGCCTCATCACGACTCCTAGAATCCGACAAGAGTAAGCAAGACAAGCGTGATAGGCAACGACAACTGTTGTAGCAGCAACGATAACAATGTGCCATTTTTGGTGATAACAACAGTAACGATTCACTTCGAATCTTAGCCGTGTCAGTCAAGAGCACTAAGCTAAGTAATATCCAATCAAAATAAAATGCAAGCCCCTCAACTCCGCAACGCAGGCACCACGACCTAACTGGTAGCTCGATCGCTGCGGCCATTCTTGAGGAGCCTTCAACGTGCAACTGCTCCGGGGGTTTAGACATCTGCATCTTTTTCGGCTTTACAGTTTAGGGGTTTCGAGGGTGATGTGAAGGGTTTTTGCGGCTTCTCTCAATACATGGTTTACTTTCTCTACCTCTGGTTTGTGCGCCTTCACCCCACAACCCTTTAAAGGGCCTAGCAAGGGGTGTCCTTCCATTGCCCTGCAGCTACAAAGTATACACCAACACCTAAAGCCTAAGCCCTCAAACCCCGAGCTTGCGCTGAAAACGTCTTAGGAGGGTTTAGGGCTTAGGGTTTGAGCTTTTCCTGCGCGCTCTTGCCTTGAGACGGGGTAAGGGTTGCCTTGGCGCTGGCCGGCACCTCAGTCCATGCTGAAAAGGGATTCAGGGACCAAACCCCTAAGCCCCTTAAAAAATGCCCTTAAGCCCTTAGGGCTCGGGGACCATGAACCCCTGACAGAGCCCACAACGCCTCTATAAGCTTTCAGAGCCCAGCGGCCCAAGCGGGGGATTCTGTCGGAGAGATGGCAAGCCGGAGTCGTTCCCCGAAGAGAGACTTTGGCGTCTCCGTGGCCGAGGATTCTCTGATGGAAGTTTTAGGGTTTCCGAGGTTTCGGGGTTTAGGGATTAGGGCTTTTCGTTTGGCGTTCGGGGTTCACAGTTGTGTGTTTCGGGTTTGGGTTTGTGGCCCAGTTTTTTTTTAATTGGGTTTTTGGGGATGCTTTAGCATTTTGGGCAGAGGTGTGGAGGATTTGGGGCGTAGAATCATGCGTGGAAGCGGTATCCACGTGAGCAAGACGAGGAGATGCGTTATTGGCATGTCCAGACGGAGAGTCAGACTCCAAGTTCACTGAGCCACGTTCGGTGCGCAAGGTTTTCGTAAGGCCGAAGCCTGGTAGTGCTAATATAGAGGCCTTGGTAGTTGCCTACACCATTTTGGGGGTTCCTTATTATAATTATAGTGTATTATACCCCAAAACCCTAGTCTAATAATTAAGGCCCCTACATGATGCATTCGGAATCGCGTCCCGGCACGAAGCTGTACAAGCAAGCGATTCTTGCTTACGTAGATGTGATGATAGATTCAGACCATTAGAGAGCTGTCGTTTTACACTTTGTGGTAACTGCGGGGGTCATTTAGCTTGAGAATGATGCGCGGCTGTCTTCTTGTGCCACCCACGTCGCTACGTCCCTTACGCATCTTCGAGGTTGATTGGAATTTTTGCATCTTCGAACCTTCAACTTCAAATATAGACACATAGCCGAATTCATCAAGGTAGCTCGGCGCTCTCATGCGGCCCGTAGCCTCCATCAAAGGGATCCAGAAGTGGGATGAAGGTAGGTGGGGTAAACCCATATAAGAGCCCCGAAACCCCAAAGCCTTCCGAGGCCCGTAGCCTCAGAGAACGCATCCGAGGATGTGCAAGCGGCGCACTCTCTGCGTGAACGGTATGAAGCCCCGAGGCGGATCATGAGGGACTCGTAGCATGACATAGCGTAGGTATACTTGAATAGGGTAGTGTAGCATGCTTATATCTACAGTATAGATAGACTAGCATATATTGTGACATTATTGGTAGTTACAATGAGAATGACAGCCGTAGTGCCTCTACTTCCTCAGACAGGCAATCCAAGTTCCGAGTCTCGGCAATTCTGCGGTTCGTGCGCACGGACGGCTCCTGCGACATCTTCGAGGCATGCAGAAAAGCGAGGGTTTAGGGTTTAGGGTGTAGGATGACAGGATGTAGAAAGAAGAATCTTGAGTTGTGGAGTCGTGGTTCAGGTTGTTCGGGCTCAGTCTCGAGGAGGGGTGTGCAAGGACAGGGCACATCGTTTCTAAATAGGGGTGCAACGAGGTAGTTGCATGATTCCGCCAGAGGATTGACATCTACCTCTACATCTGCATGTGCATCTACATCTAGATCTCTATACCTATACATATACCTATGCCTAATATCTATTTTTACCTGCACAGATCTAGACCTGGATTTCACATATCTTATTAAAACTCCAACCCAACGCCCCAAGCCCGCCCCCGAAACAATAGCTCTGACGCAGGCCGTAAATGCCGAGCCGCACGATGCCAACATTCGTGGGGCGATCTGTGCGGAAAGGGTGGCCCTCTGCCAGTTCCAGAAGGAGCTATAGGGTAGTGTTTAGGGTCCAGGGTTTAGGGTATTACTAAACCCCTATAAGGAGTCTAAGTGCTATGTACGGGTTTTAGCTTCAGGGTTTTAGGGTTTAGGGTTCAAGGCTTTTGCAGAGCGTTCACATGAGTTTTTAGATTGTTTTGGGGGTGTAGTAGCGTCAGCTTCTTGTATCCACCACTGCTTCTTCTGCTGGCTGCTAGACTCTGACGTGTTTGTGGCTTGGGAGAATATTTTTGGCTTTCAGTAGCATTATTTGCAGACTTCTGAGATTTTGGCGTCCGCGGGGAACACACAAACCTTGCTTGTCTCTCAGGGCTTGTAGTGTTTCTTGGGGCTTCTTAGTCCATTCATTATGTAGGCCCCTATAGTAGCTGGACAGGAGGAGCTTCAAAAAGGCAGCCGCGTGGTTCGGGTCGTCTGCGCCACGGACTGCCGGCAAATTGGGGTCACGGGCGCGCAAGGGTCGAGGGGGAACGTGGTGAGAGGGTTTGGGGATATGTGTGGCTTGAGGGATCCCTAACCCTAAACCCTAAACCCTTGAATGCAAGGGCTTACTGAAGCCAAAAGTCACTCAGACCTCTGAAGTTTTCAGCCCGAAGTCCTAAACCCTAAACCGTCCGGAATTATGTATAAATATCTGGCGCATGCATGGGCAATTCAGTGCAACTGCATGATGAACTTCATGCGAATGGGGATGGGCAGCAGCGACAAGTAACTGAGGAGACATGTTGAAACAGTCGGCGAGAATTGCAGCCCACCTGTTTAGGCTACTGCTTGTCGGAGTTGTTTGTGATTGACGTGTTCTTCGTAGTCACTCATGGTGTGCTGTGACATTGCGCCTGTAGCCTAGCTGCTCCCTCAGGGCGGTGATAGGGTCTGACAGAGCGTGGAGCAATGTCAAATGATTTTAGACGGTTTTGGTGGCATGTCATGAGTCGCGGAGTCATCTTGTTTCACGATATTGCATGGAGCCTTGCCTGCCTTGTGCGATTGTGAGAGTCGAAAACCGTCCTGAACCTCTAACCACTGAACCTTAAACCCACAGCCGACCCTAAACCCTAAACCCTAAACCCGAGCCTGGTGAGGACTGCGAGGACCCCATTTTCCCCGGTCCGCTGTGCCGGGAGTTCCTGACCGTCACTTTGAGCAAGGTGTAGGTGTCGGATGGGCGTATATAGGGTTTACGGTTTACGTAGGGTTTATGTAGTTGAGGCTTCTATAGTGTTGTTACAGGGTTTATATCATAGAGTTTAAGTACCTCGAGTTTTCGAAATACCTCGAGTTTGGTGTCCGCAATGCGAATTCATCGGGTAAGAGGTGCAGGGCCAGGGCGAAAGATCAACCCCACAACCTCCCGAACACCTGAAGCCAGCCTTACTTACATACATATATGCACACACACACACACACATATATATATATATGTATATATATATATATATACATATATTCATGTACACACAGAGCTCCGCAAAGAGGCTCGTGGATTAAACCTAAACCCCAATGTCCGCTCAAATAGCCAGAACTTCGTCAAACCCCCAAAAGGCCAGCCCTGAATCCCCTGAACCCAACACCCTATGAAGAAAAAGCAGTGAAAATGCTTCAAGCCATAAACCCTAGACCCTAGAACTGAGAATGCATCAAACCATAAACCCTAAACTCCCGGGCCCGAACCCTTGTCTAGATGATGCATGCTGGTTTTTGACAAGAAGGAAGGCCCTTTCCCTCTTAGAGGTTCTACTGTAGTGTTATGTGTTGTGTGGGTCCTTCTCTTGACAAATGTTTCACTGCACTGCAAACCTCGAACCATCTGCCTCGCCTGGAGTGTCCGAGTCTGAGCGCCGAAACCCTCGAACCTACATGCTCTGCTGAGAATGCTTTAATCCATAAATCCTAACACCTAGAGCCTAGATGCGAGAGGGCGGAGAACCTGCATGTTCTTCCAAAGCCAAAGTCAGAGGCCACGTGCGATCCGAGCATCGAGGTCGTGGCCACGGGCTCCAAGGGCTCGTGGGAGACCTGGCGGAAACGCCGCCTTCCGGGCGCAGAGCTTTAGGTTTGGAGTTTCGGGGCCTGGGGCCTGGAGTTTTGGATGTGGGGTTTAGGGGTTTGGCTGTAGTTGCCTTTGTTTCAGGGTGTTGAAGTTTGGGGCTTGGAATGGCAGGTGCGTCGTCTCGGGTTTAGGGTCTGGGGCTTTAGAACTGGGTTTTCGGGGTTCCGGCTTAGACAGCTACGTGATCATACATGCTTGCCTGGAAAAGCTGGAGAGACTGACGAAGTCGTGTTGTGAGTGTCACTTCCTTGCATCCACCAATCTCCTGCTTGAAAAAAGGGTTTGGGGCGCTCGACCCGGTCGTGTTCGAGCTGGTTTGGTCTTCTTCCCTCCTTCGCGCTTGCCGTCCGAGTTCTGCAGCTGCTACATTTTTACTTTCTAAGCGGTTGATGTCATGCCTCGATAATTTAGTGTCTTGTCCTTGCGTTGCGACCCACGCAGTTCGGTGGGAGGCAGAAGATATTCAAAAATCGAGTTCCCAAAGGTTGAACCCGTATCTACCCGACATGATCCCTACACCTTAGATAACCTTCAGCCCTCAACCTGAAAGCAAGCCGACCTACCGGGATTGCCCGAGTTGCGAGCGCCTTAAACCTTAAACTTTAGCCTCTGAGCCCTAAACCTTAAACTGAACCGTGCAAGGCGCGCTTGTCCTAGAAAGTTGGGAGGCAAAAAAGAACCTTAAACCCAAACCCCGAAACCTGAACCCTCATGCCTAAAGCTAGACTCCTAAGCCCTAAGCCCTAAGCCCTAAGCCCTAAGCCCTAAGCCCTAAACCCTAAGCCCTAAACCCTAAACCCTAAACCCTAAACCCTAAACCAAGACCAGCCGAGGAGATTCAGCCTCTTAAGGAGCTCCTGCCTCTGCCGTCTTTGTACCGGAACCTGGACAACGAGGCCCCATGGCTTTTTTTTTGGGGGGTATTTTTGGCTTAGGTTTTAGGGTTTTGGGGATTTAGGTTTAGGGTATTTTGGGGATTTAGGGTTTAGGGTTTCAAGGGTTTCGGGATGGTCTCTTCAGCATCCCATTTCTCGACCTTTAGCAACAAGTCGGAGGGTCTTTTTTCTGGCAGCCGGCAAGCCTAGTTTCAAAAAAAGTAAGCGTTCGCAAGCTTCAACTCGGGACTTCAAGATCGAATCACATGTCCGTCAAGATGTAACTTCTCACTAGCCATGCCCCCTGCGACAGACATGCTGAAAGCCCGAAAGCGAACCCCAAAAAAGTATGAGCCTAAATCCTAAACCCTAAAACCCTAAAACCTTAAAACCCTAAACCCTAAATCCTGCAGACCCTAAACCCCAAACCCTAAATCCTAAACCCGAAACCCTTAACGGTTCGATCAGCAACCTGACCGTGCGCGCCACGGGCCGCCGCGCAACCCGAAGTCCGACTTCCGGTCACTACCCCTGCCCTAGGGAACTTGTCTCAAACAGTATATGGGTAGTTCTCTAAACTAGGGTGCCTTTGGGGGGTCCTTTTTATAAGGGTGCCGCACTATATTGAAGACCCAAAAAGGGACCCTTGTTTAGAAAACTACCCATATAGGGCTTCTCGGTATCGCTGTGTTATAGCAAGAGAGGGCTTCCACGATGCTCGCAGGGCTCCTTATTGTGATTTACGGGGGGTGTTCAAAGGCTGTTGGACTCTCCGCAAAGGCGGCGAAGGCCAAAGCCGCGGCCATGGGAAAGGAGGCCAAGGAACCCGAGGACCAGAGATTTGCGAAGCTTTACCAGGCGAGCGGGAGTTGTACAGGTCTAGGGTTTATTGGGTTCGGGTTTAGGGGCTGCGGGGGTTAAAGGGTTTCAGTTTAATTTAAGGGTTTTAAAGCTCGAGTTCAGGGCATGAGGCACTTTCGGGGGTTGGGCACATGACTGGAGTCAGATTCCGCTGCCGTGACTTTTTCGTTTCATCCGACGTTGCCTCTTGCTACTGCCGTCTCCTCCTCCGCCTACTTCCTCCTCCTCCTCCTCCAAAAACTACTTCTACTACTACTACTACTACTACTACTACTACTACTACTAAAACTACTTCTACTTCTACTACTACTACTACTACTACTACTAAAACTACTACTACTACTCCTCTTGCTATTATTACTGCTTACTGCT